GTGCTCTAGGAACCACAAGTAGACCTGCACTCTGAGAGCAAAGTGCTCTGTTGGGATGGTGAAGCACTATAAGGTCTTTAAGATATGATGGAGCCTTGTCATTAAGGGCTTTGTATGTTAGGAGAAGGATTTTAAATTATATTCTAGATTTTACAGGGAGCCAGTGGAGAGAAGATAATGTGGAGAGAAGCTAATATGGGAGAGATATGATCTCTCTTGCTTGCAGTGCTCTGGCTACAGCATATCAGATAGTCTACAGAGTATTTGCAGTGACATAGTTGAATGTCTTGTAAACTCCACCAGATGGAGCTCTTGTAATCCTCAGTGCTTGACTCTCCAAAAATGTAAAAATAAATCTTAAAGTTGTAAAATGCTTAAAATATGCATACATTTTGGAATAATGCTAAGGGAAATGTAGGTCCATGTTTTGGCAACAAAACTTGTTGTATTTAATATTGCATTTATTAAAACAATCTCCTGGAACCAAAACCAATGCTGAATTCTGTAAGAAAAAAAAATTTTTCATTCTGCCAGGAAACTATCACTTTCACTTTTGTGAATATTGTTTAAAGAAACAAAAACAAAAAAAATACCTACTCTCTAAAATGACAATATAAATGACTGTCTACTGTAACTACAGCTTTGTTTCACATTACTGTGCTGCATACAGACATTAATTCAACACATTCCTGGTCCAGCCGGTCCTCCATCTGGCTGGACTTTAACACTATTTCAGCTGCACACTGTTAACCTCTCCTTATCCTGCATGATTAGCACTGATCCCATACCTTGTGTCCTCTTGCTTCCTCTATTTTCATGTCTCCAATGCTCCTAAAAGAAAATCAGCACACACAAGACTATCTGGCAATGCTTATTAGTGAGTGTGTGTTATTTGGTGGTTTGGCAAAATTTGCTGCTTTCAGTCACGACTTAGGCCCCCGGCTCGTCATCTGAAGATGACTGTAAAAAACCTAGGGGTTTGACAACGACTCGAGACTTGACAACTAGATCAACTCAGTCGTAAAATCTAGTTTCTTTCACCTGAGGTTGTTAAGTAAAGTCAATTCATTTCTTTCTTTTAATGATTTTGAGATTGCAATCCATGCTTTTATAACCTCCAGACTTGACTATTGCAATGCATTATACCTTGATGCTGATCAGGTGTCTGTCACTTGTCTCCAAATGGCACAAAATGCTGTGGCTCATCTTCTAACAAGTACCAGGAAATTTGACCATATAACCCCGGTACTGGCCTCTCATCATTGGCTTCCAGTCCGTTTTAGAATTGACTTTGACTTTGATTTTTGTTTTTAAGGCTTTTAATGGTTTGGCCTACAAGATTGCTCAGAAGATCAAGCAAGTTTCTTTTAGAGGTTCCCAGGGCCAGATATAAACGCTGGGGTTGACTGTGCTTTTACTGTTGCAGCTCTTAAATTGTGGAATAGTTTGCCTCCCAATATTAGCTCATCTACAGACTTGATAACTTTTAAATCATCGGTTAAAACATATTTATTCACTTTGGCTTTTAATACATAATAATGTCTGATGCTTCCTTTTTTTAACTATTGATTCTGTGTAATTTGTGTGTTTATGTTCCTATCTAGTTTTATTCCTGTATTGATCTTATTTACTTTAGTTCTTACCTTGTCCTTGTAAAGTACTTTGGTCAACTGGACGTTGTTTTTAAAGTGCTATATAAATAAATTTTGATTTGATTTGATTTAGTTGCAGGCATGGATGGACTATGAGAAAAAGGGCCCCTGGTCACAGATGGGTAAAAGGTCTCATTGCAGTCCTTTTGTGTGTCTTTATGGTTATGGTCTCTTTGTAGTTGCTCTGCGTCTCACTGAGATGGTTTCATATCCCGCATCCTGTCTCAAAGTGATGCTGAAAAACTGGTCCATGCATTTGTTACTTCCAGGCTGGACTACTGCAACTCTTTACTATCAGGATGTCCCAATAATTCCCTAAAAAGCCTCCAGTTAATCCAAAATGCTGCAGCCAGAGTACTGACAGGAACTAGCAAGAGCAGGTTTACTTGTGGTTCCTAGAGTCCACAGAAGCAGAATGGGAGGCAGAGCCTTTAGCTATCAAGCTCCTCTCCTATGGAACCAACTCCCAGTCTCAGTTCGGGAGGTGGACACCCTCTCTACCTTTAAGATTAGACTTAAGACTTTCCTTTTTGATAAAGCTTATAGTTAGGGCTGGATCAGGTGACCCTGAGCCTTCCCTTAGTTATGCTGCTATAGACCTAGGCTGTTGGGGGACCCCATGATGCTCTGAGTTTCTTTCCCCTCCCCTCCTGCTCTCCTCTCCTCCCCTCCCCTCCCCTCTCCTCTCTCTCCCTATGCTTCTATAGGCCACCGTTACACATTACTAACTTTGTGTCTCCTCTTTCCCGTAGTGTGTCCTCTGTCTCTCCCTGTACCTTTCTGCAGGTTGCTCTGGCTCTGGAGCTCTACGTCTCTGACAAGCAGTCACCAGCCACATCAACCTGATCAGTGTTTGATTGTTGTGTCCTGTTGCTTTTCTTCTTTTCCTCTATCCACTCACCCCAACCGGTCGAGGCAGAAGGCCGCCCACCAAGAGCCGGGGTCTGTCGGAGGTTTTTTCCGTTAAAGGGAGTTTTTCCTCCCCACTGTTGCCAAGTGCTTGCTCAAGGGGGATTTGTTGAGTTTTCCCTATGTAATAATATTGATAACAGTAAGGTCTAGACCTTACTTTGTAAAGTGTCTTGAGATGACTTTTGTTGTGATTTGGTGCTATACAAATAAAATTTGATTTGATCCCTTTGTAGTCATTCTGTAACTGTGTGGTCATTTTGCATCTATATGTAGTTCTCTTGATGGAGTTCTATAAATTTCAAACAAGAAACTGTCACTTTATACACAAGCTCTGGCCCAGGTCCCCCTGAACTCTAGGGCCCCTGGGCTTGTGTCTGGTGATCCATCCATGGTTACAGGTAAGGCTTTGTCAGTGCCTGCTTAATCCAATCTGTCCATGATCCAATTATTCCAGGTTCAGTGTATGACTGTTTTGAGTAATTTGATAATGTTGACCTTGTTTTCAGCCAAACTATCACAACTTACACAACTTACATCACAAGCTCTGTGCAAATTAATGGTCACAGGGTACATACTCAATGAGTAGACTTGACAGTGCCCTAACACCATAGCTACAAGACTACTTCTCAACAAACATTAATAAAGTAGTGACTTATTTTTTACTATTATTAAATTATCAGTAAATATATGTGCAAAACATTGTCTATGCATCAGACATTTTGAACTGAATAAAATCAGGGGAAAATGTTTCATGCAAAGTCTTTTATTTATGAATAGTCTGCAGTACTGTACAATATAACACATACTTGTCTCTATTTATGACCATTTCTAATGATCTTAGCAAATATAGACAAATATGCCATCAAAAACAGCTCACTTTCATAGTAATCTAAAAAATACTTTTCTCTGTTTTAAATATGCAGCTTATCTTTTGAAAATAAAATATACATTTGAAATATAACAGCTGTTTATAGGATAGACTATATAGTACCAAATGTATATGCCAATACACTTCTCTGTGACTTCTTACACATTTCATGCACAAAAAAGAGAAAAAAAGATGCTGCACATATGGAAAAAAAGTTATACATATTTCTGTATGAAAATAGAAAATATCAAAGCAAGATGTGCACCAATAATCTATATCATGTTACAAAGAACTCACAGTACAAAATACCTATGAGAATGACCAGATAATATAATATCTGGAACACAGAGGTAAGGGTTCTGGGTTGGTAGGAGGACAAAGACAAAACCTCAGACTGAACTTCCACTGATGAACTCGAGTCACAGCCATTTCCATGCAAGTCTACAAGCAGATCTAGCATGTTCAACATCACATACAGCTGCATCAGTGTCAGGGTCAAACAAAAACATTAGAAGTTGCACTTTTAGCTCTGAATTTTGGCATTAAACCCAGTGAATGTTGATGTCCAATGCATAGCATAAAGTTTGGTTTGGTATGTTTTAAATTTTTTAATGTATTGCTACCACATAAGTCAAGTGAATAATTGCCTCTTATCTTTATCTTATAAAGTACTGATATGTCAACATTAAATTACTGAACATGTTCAAATACTGTGATAAGTATTGTAAAAGCTATTTTATGTACAGCATAACACAACAATATTAAGCATCCTCAGCTTAATATTTATTATTATTGCCAAAAATGCTACATTTTTTTTATGGAATTAAAATGAATTACTTACTGGTGTCCATTTAAATTAGGATGTGTAAACCAACAAAACTGGATGCCTTACACACAATGAGGTTCTCTGCAATCAATAAGCTACATCTATCATTTCCTGCAAACAAGCATTTTGGATATCACATAAACTGAAAAAAAAACCCTCAATGGTTAAATATAGACTTCTGTTAATGACAGGAAAAGATGGATTGCTGATGCTGATGGCACTGGAGAACAGGGACGGTGTGAACTTGAATTACTGTGAGTGTAATCTGAGTATTTGAAGACATTATCAGGTGCACACTGGTAATATAAAGCCACTAATCTCAACAATGCACATCTAATACTTGTAGCAAAAGATGGAGCTTTAAAGCAAATGTTTAAATGTGAGCAACTTTTTGAAATGGAGACTTACAACCTGTATATAACAACTCTACTGTTCTTGACTGAAACATTTCAAGGAGTGGTCTCATTGCAATCCAGGTTGTCTGAGTGCATTCTCTATAACATTAATATAAGAATAAAAAGCAGGGGGCTTCAATATTAGCAATAGACCAAAAGACTACTAAAAATCTAGTCTTAACATAGATAAGAAAATATAGATTTCTTCAGCAATTGAATTTGAATTTTTATATTCTAAATAAAATCTTAAACTCTTTCTTATATACATTTAGTGCAATACTGATTGTAATGCAATACTGTTTCCTTATTATTATTATTCCTGTTATATTTCTTTTGTTTGTTGAGCAGAAGCAGTTTTATATTCATATTGCAACACCCAAGCTCACACAGGAGAATGCAGAATGGGAATAATGAAATGTATTTTTCCAAAAGCAACATCAATGGAAGGAAGCTCATTTTCCTGGGCAAATAAACATTTTGAGAGGTGAAGAGACTGCAAGGTCCAGGATAACAAGGTTGAAAAGGCCTGAAGAACTGGCACTTGCAGGGACTTTATTTTGGCCGCAAAAATGTTCTAAAAGCACCAGAACAGTCAGTAATTTTGTGAGAAGTAATGCGTAACAACATTGCAGGGATCACAGCTGGCTAAACCAGGAGGTGAGATGAAAGCCGTTGTTATTGGAAAAAGCTGTTAATTTAACAGTGACAAGTCTCCACACTGGTGAAGTCAGTGTCAGAGGTTACACTCTCTCAACTCGACTGGGGTCATAGGTGTCTGATGAGACAAGAGAAAGAAATGATGACACAACATAATCAAAAACAAGTAAAGGAAATATAATTTGCTCTTACTGATGTGACCAATAAAGGAACAATTCAGCATTTTATGAAATGTGCTTACTTGCTTTGGCTACTAAAATGAAATGGAAGAGCAATTCTAATTTCATGTCTGTATGTTAAGTACAGAGCTGGAGCCAGGACATGGCTAGCATAAAAACTGGAAGCAGGCATGCAGCTATACCTCACCTCTAAAGCTCACTTTTCCACATTACTTTAACTTGTTTATGCACAGAAATGTAAAAACCGCACTTTAAGGATTCAGGAGGAAGTTACATGGTCAAACTATTTCTTGGTGAACAATAACTGGGCCAAACCTGTTAAGTCATCCCTTCTCATAAGGAAAAGTGACAAATATAGTGACTACACCTAACCCCAGAAAACTGCCAGTTTTATAACTCTGTTTGTGTGCAGGTGAAAAAAACAAGATAGATTTTCATTTGTGAGCTTTAGAGATGGTTATAGGTTAGTTGTTTCTATAGCCTCTAGTCTAGTATTTATGCTATGCTAGGCTAACTGCATGCTACCTTAAGCTTATATTTAAAATATATTGGCAAATATGCTTCTTCTGGTTTTTTGCCTAGAGTTAGCTCAAAAGGTCGACCCCCTCTCATGTCTGCACACAATATAAAGGAAGATAGAGATAGAATGCAGTTAGCTTACCTTTGCATATAAAGACATGGAAACAGCTAGTCTGCATTGTCAAAAGTTAAAAGAAAAACAGCCCTTCACTACTTAACAACCCCCCCACTAAAGAGCTTAATACTTAACACATCTCATTTGTTTATTCTGTACAAAAAACTAAATATAAAAACTATAGTTTGTGGTTTTATGTGGAGTTTCATGCATTCTGGGCCCCAGTCTTTATTTTATGTTAAGCAAATAAGCCTATTTTTCAAAACACTGAACTGTTCCCCTATCAGCAGTGTCACATTCATTGGTATTTGTAAATGGTTAATACCCGCACACTAAACCATGATGCTTGACTCTGGAGTCAAAATGAAACTACTGAATAGTTTATCTCTTAATTCCTTGATACACACCTGAGACAGAGAACACCTCCTCATCCTCCATGTTTGAGGGGCTGCAGGTCTCTGTGCTGAAGCTGAGTGGTAGTGTTATCTCTCTCTTAGGAACACTGCGAGGTTTAGGAAGCAGAGGAGGCTTCTGAAGCCTGGTGCGCTGCTTTGGTTTGGGTTTTTCTTCCTCTGCATTTTGACTCGATTCAGTTCTGCTGACTACTTCTGCATTCTGTCCATCACTCACCTTCACCAAATGCTTTTCTTTGTCATCTTTCCCAGTTTCCAGTTCCACGTCTCCTTCTGGCTTTTCAGTTTTTAATTCAACATCTACATCTTTACTCTCTTCAATGTGTGTAAGCTCAACCTTAGTCTCTTTTGTTTCTTCTTCTTGACTTTGCTTCTCCTTACATATCCCTTGTTTCAGTTCTTTAGGTTGGGAGTATTCTTCAGGATCTCCCAAAATGTCATATGTTTCATGTGAATTCTTGTGTTTATCTGAGATTTCCACCTCCTTCCTTCTTTCCACCAGCTTTTTCGCCTCTTCTTCCTGTTTCTCTTCAACATAATCAATCTTCTCTTGTTGAATCTCACTCTCATCTCCATCTCTATTTCTCTCCTCAAAATGAACATCTCCAGATTCTGAGCCCTCGAAACAGAGGGATCTTTTTTGAGACATTGTTTCCAGCCCTTTCAGACATGCCATTCTGTCTGTGGTTGACCTATCCAATGATGTAGCAGATAAAGATGCAGAAGAGCTTAGCTTATCTTGCATGGAGTCAGTCAGCTTGCATGCCACCCCTCTTCTCTTCTTCTCCCCACTGCACATGCTCAGTGCTAGCATCTTATCAGTAGTGACAGGCAGGGATAGAGGAAGCTTACTGGGTGGGAACTCAGGCAGGTCCAGTACTACTGCTGACTGAGTGTTGGGATCCTGGTTATCTTCACCATCATGGTTAGTGCTGTGCTTATATCTGTTACCTTCTTCTTGCTCCAAACTGGAACCTGTCTCCTCTGCCTCCTTAGTTTCTGCCTCTTGGACAATCAGAGACTCCACTTGGACTTGCTCACCTTGTCCTATCACCTGCTGTGTCTTTTCAGTTGGACTTAGTTCTTTCTCAGATTCAGGGGTGTCCATTTTGTCCTGGATATCCTCAGAGTGTTTGTCAGCCACACCCAAGGCCTCGACTGCAACGTCTATACCCAGGATCCGTGCTGCTCTCTGCTCAATAGACTCATTCTCGGGAATACCCTTTGCACATTTGACCTCATACAGGTTGCTGAGATCCTCTGCAGGTAAAGTATTGACTTTCTCCTGGATCAGTAAATCCTCCAAATGCTTATCTGCCATTGTTGACTCATCCTTATAGGTCAGTGGCTCAGAGATGGTGCATTTCTCATTGTCATCATCATCTTCAGAAGAAACAAAGGAAACCTTCCTTGTCTGCCTTGTGATATATGGTGAACCTTCTTTTTGTGGTGATCTTCTGCTTTCACTCCTGGTTCTACGGATATTTAAATTTACATCACCCCTGGATGCTGGGACTTTGTCTAATTTATGTGTACTCTCTGTATCAACCTCCAATTGAAGATCTTTATTTGAACTGTGCTCAGGGATACCACTGTTATTAGCCGTTCTGGTCTTCAACGAGAGCTGCACTGACTGACTAAGATCCTTACGATTAACTGGAGAAGGGGCTGAGAGTGAGCATTGCTTTGGCTCTCCAGAACCCCCAGGAATCTCTGTGTACACAGTCAGTCCCACATCCGTTAGCAAAGACTCATGAAGAACTGGGATATCCTGTCTATAGAGCCGGTTTGACGTATTGTGTGGGGGTAATGATAAGAGGCAGTTGTCTGTGGGGCCTGGGTTGAAGAGTATAGATAGCTCATTTGTTGGTGGCATGTTGGTGGCCTGTGACCTGGAGAAAACACTCCTCATGTTCATGGAATCTAGATCAACAGTAGAAGCCACGGACCTTGATCTGACTTTTATATTGGTGACTTTTTCTGTGTGCACTGGTGGAAGACTGATTGCTTCCCTACCTGGTTCTGGATAAATAGAGAAATGTGCTCCTGATTTAAAGTGGTCTAGTCTCTTCTTCACTCCAACAAGATAATCAGTGCACTGTCCCACACTGGGTCTCTTGCTGATTGTGTCTTCCATCTCCTTATTAATGCTCTCCAGTTCACCAATGGCATCACAGGGTCGTCGGTTCACTGGCTTTAAGAGAAACTGACCAAAGGTCACTTGCTCGGCACTCTCTGGGGGACTAGAACTGCTCCTCCTGGAAGAGGATGGCTGTTGGTCTCCTTTATCCCAGGCCTTGGATGGGGAGCATGGGTCCTGTTGTGAAGGTTGAAGTGGTGGCAGCTGTGTTTGACTTAGGCTGAGACGAGAGAAGGCGCTGTTGCTGGAGGGATGAAGGTTTTTCTGGCCTGCCATGGGGTAGCCATAAGAGATGCTACTTTCTGTCACTACACCACTGTCTGTGGTATTGTCTGAGGCAGACTGAACAGGTGCTTGTCCCTGAGGAGGACTCTGGGTTCCTGGACTTTTTATCACCGTCAAAGGTGAGCCAGTCTGGGTTTCCTGATTACGGTACTGGTTTCCTGGCCAAGATCCAGCATAGTACAACTCTTTGTCTTCACTAGCTTGGAGTGCCCAGGCATCTATAATCTCCTTCCTTAAAGGAGCCCTCTTGTAATTTCTCATTGAGGATCTGCTGCTGGTGTGAAAGTGAGTGTAGTGGGGTTTGATGGGCATCTCCTTCTCATACTTGTTTCGAATGTTTGGGGTCTCTTTGAGACTTACAGTGAAAGTCTCTGGGTTAGTGACAGTCAGGCTTGTAATTGTCTCATTATTGTTCTGATCTGCCACTAAGTCTTTGTTAATGTTACCTGGCATGTGAATTGGGACAGACACAAGGCAGAAGATGGTCTCACTCACTCTTCCTTTAGTATTCCTGTTGCTCTCCGGCCCTAAATCTCTGACAATTTTCTTTACTTGGGTTATGGTTTCCGCAATGTCTGAACTTGAACCCTGGTGTGAAGATGTTCTTATTAATGGGGTTTGGAAGGTTGAAGAGAGTGATGGAGGAGGACGTTGGTTTTTGGGATATCCATTGTTGCAGTTTAGGTCAGGTACTGGGAAGTTATCGACAATCTCTTTGTGCAAATCGCTGTGCCACCTGTTATTGTCATTGTTGAAGTCACTAGAAGACATCATACTAGCATCATTGCCCACTTTGGCTGTGATGAAAGGCCCCAGTGGCGGGGGCAAAAAGGCACTTTTGTCAAATGCGGGCTCTGACACGGTGACACTGGGAAGCTCGTTGCAGATGTGGCGGATCTTGTCAGCATCCGTCAGGGAGTTGCCACCGAGGGCTGAGGAAACATGGCGGATTCGAGAGTCATCAAAGGGGATATACTGAACCCCTCTGCTAGGGCGCTCCTGGGTAGTATATACAGGGTAAACCTGCTTCTGGCTGGACATACACCTCTCTTTCTGGGGATCAGGCCAGGAACCTGCTGGATGTCTGGTGAACCAGTGGGAGCCATCTGAAGCCACTTGTATTTTGTGGTACACATCACCTCTGTACCTACAAGTAAAGATAACACAGATGCACTTTCTAAGAAACATTAACTTCAACAAAACTAAATGGAATAAACAAGGTGAAAGTCTGAGAAATAATTAGTGATGTCAGTCAATGTAATTATACTCCAATGTCTATTGTGTTAAGAACTACTCACTCAATTTCAGAATACAACAGACTTTATCTTCATTGCAGGGGGACATATATAACTACAGAAATGCATTGTCTGATCAAAATGTGTATGGATGCTGAGTACTGATAGATTGCCCAGAAAATGCTGAAAATTTTGATACCTGAATGGTTTTGCTAGCTGGAAGTATGCTGACATAGAATTTCCCCATTTAAATGGGGCAAAACTTTCAAAATAAAGTTAAATATTTCAAAGGTATAAGGTTTAAAAAAAATCCTTACGACAAGCATGAATGTCCTTGAAGAGCTAAACATTTTGATACCTGAAAGTATGCTGAAGTAGAATTTCCCCCATTCATTTGTATGGGGCAAGATTTTCAAAATAAAGCTAAATATTTCAAAAGTATGAAGTTTAGAAAAATTCTGCATAGAAGCATGAATGTCCTTGGAGAGCTGAACATTTTAATACCTGAAATAGCTGAAAGTATGCTGAAGTAGAATTTCCCATTCATTTGAATGGGGCAAAACTTTTGAAATAAAGTTAAATATTACAAAGGTATAAGGTCTAAAAAAATGCTTAGGACAAGCATGAATGTCCTTGAAGAGCTGAACATTTTGATAGCTGAAAATATGATGAAGTAGAATTTCTCCATTTGTTTGAATGGTGTAAAAATTTTCAGAATAAAGCTAAATATTTCAAAAGTATGAAGTTTGGAAAAATTCTGAAGTGAAGCATGAATGTCCTTGAAGAGCTGAACATTTCATACCTGAAATAGCTGAAAGTATGTTGAAGTAGAATTTCCTAATTCATTTGAATGGGGCAAAACTTTCTAAATAAAGCTAAATATTTCAACGGTATAAGGTTTAGAACAATCCTTACAACAAGCATGAATGTCCTTGAAGAACTGAACATTTTGATAGCTAAAAATATGCTGAAGTAGAATTTCCCCATTCATTTGAATGGTGAGAATTTTTTAAAGTAAAGCTAAATATTTCAAAAGGCTGAAGTTTATAAAAATTCTGAATAGGAGCATTAATGTCCTTGAAGAGTTCCAACATTTTGATAGCTGAAAGTATGATGAGTGTAGAATTTCCCATTCATTTGAATGGGGCACAACTTTCAAAATAAAGCTAAATATTTTAAAATTGTGATGTTTTGAAAAATTGTGAATAGAAGCATGAACGTCCTTGAAGAGCTGAACATTTTGATACCTGAAAGTATGCTGAAGTACAATTTTCCCATTATTTTGAATAGGGGAAATTTTTCAAAAGAAAGCTAAATATTTCAGAAGTGTGAAGTGAAGGAAAATTCTGAGTCAAAGCATGACTGTCCTGGGAGAGCTGAACATTTTGACAGCTGAAATACTTGAAAGTATGCTTAATCAGAACTTTTCAAAACTTCATGCTTTTTTAAATATTTTGCTTTGTTTTGAAAATCTTGCCCTATTCAAATGAATGGGAGAAATTCCACTTCAGCATATTTTCAGCTTTCTCAGCTATCAAAATGTTCAGCTCTTCAGAATTTTTCTAAACTTCATACCTTTGAAATATTTAGCTTTATTTTGAAAACCTTGCCCCATTCAAATGAATGGGGAAATTCTACTTCAGCATACCTTCAGCTATTAAAATGTTCAGCTCTTCAAGGACATTCATGCTTCTATTCACAATTTTTCAAAACATCACACTTTTAAAATATTTAGCTTTATTTTGAAAGTTTTGCCCCATTCAAATGAATTGGGAAAATTCTACTTCAGCATACTTTCAGGTATCAAAATGTTCAGCTCTTCAAGGACATTCATGTTTCTCTTCAGAATTTTTCTAAACTTCACACTTTTGAAATATTTAGCTTTATTTTGAAAATCTTGCTCCATTCAAATGAATTGGGAAAATTCTACTTCAGCATACGTTCAGCTAGCAAAACCATTCAGGTCTCAAAATGTTCAGCATTTTCAGTGCGATATTTCAGCACTCAGCATCCATACGCATTTTCTTCAGAAAATGCATTTCTCTAGTTATTATTATTTATTTTAATCAAAATGTTCAGCTCTTCAAGGGCATTTATACTATTACTCAGAAGTTTTCTAAATTTCATACTTTTAAAATATTTAGCTTTATTTTGAAAATCTCATCGCATTCAAACGAATGGGAAAATTCTACAACATACTTTCAGCTATCAAAATGTTCAGCTCTTCAAGGAAATTCATGCTACTATCCAGACGTTTTCTAAACATCAAACCTTTTAAAATATTGTTTTATTTTGAAAATCTTGCCCCATTCTAATGAATGGGGAAATTCAACTTTAGCACACTTCAGCTATTTCAGGTATCAAAATGTTAAGCTCTTCAAGCACATTCATGTTTCCATTCAAAATTTTTCTAAACTTCATACTTTTAAAATATTCAGCTTTATTCTGAAAATTTTGCCCCATTCAAATGAAATGGGAAATTCAAGTTCAGCATACTTTCAACTATTTCAGGTATCAAAATGTTAAGCTCTTCAAGCACATTCATGTTTCCATTCAAAATTTTTCTAAACTTCATACTTTTAAAATATTCAGCTTTATTCTGAAAATTTTGCCCCATTCAAATGAAATGGGAAATTCAAGTTCAGCATACTTTCAACTATTTCAGGTATCAAAATGATCAGCTCTTCAAGGACATTCATGCTTCTATTCAGAATTTTTCAAAACTTCATACTTTTGAAATATTTAGCTTTATTCTGAAAATTCTGCCCCATTCAAATGAATGGGGAAAAATCTACTTCAGTTTGAATGGATGCTGAATCAGCATCCATACAATAAATAAGGTTTGGAAAAAAAGTGTGGCTGCATAGCATCCACACAATAATAAATCATTGAATAACATAATATGGATGCGGAGTCAGCATCCATACAATAAATAAGATTTGGAAAAAAAGAATGTGGCTGCATAGCTTCCACACAATAATAAATCATTGGATGACATGGTATAGATGCTGATTCAGCATCCATACAATAATTGGAGAACATAGTATAGATGCTGAATCGGCATCCATACAACCATCAACAGTGAGATGAGTACAGCATCTCTCTTGTTAATAATGGCATGAATGCCTGCTGTATTTTTGTTCAAAAATGTTTGTTTTGCAATTCTTTCAGCAATACATTTCTTGCATTAAAATGATTTATTTTATTCTCTTGTTTACACTGCAGAATATCATTGTAATGTAAATAAATGTTAAATAAAATTATCTTTAAGATATATGGAAAAAAAATTACAAATTTACCTGTAGTCAACAGCAATTTCACCATATCCCTGGCACCCCCCTGCCATTATAGGAGCTCTTTTATATGATGGAGGAGGGATGTATCCTGGAGGTCCAGAGTCCAATACAAAATAATTCAGCTGGGGGTCACCTGTCCTTGATATAGGAAGTGGTGTTCTGTCCCTGGCCTGGGGAATGGCTGAGTCTCTGCCAGACAACACTTCACAGCTTCCCCTGATCTGCTGGTGCATCTCATAGGAGGGAGGTCTGGGGGGTCGAGTGAAGCGGGGCTTTGGTGTCATTGAGAGTTGGTTGGCACTGGCTGGGCTGCCCTTCTCCAGCCAGCGGGGGGGCCGGT